TGTTTTAAATTGTATGGTTGTGTTGTTTATACACTATTGCTATGAGACTCTACCTGCCATACCTCGCGTTTCCGCTTTAGCGGGGTGTGACAATATGCTTCTTTTTGGGCTCAAAAAGATAAATCATCTTGACTACACAAATTCATCTGACACAATTCGTGATCAAAAAGACTTGAAGGGGGACATATATCCTTCTTTTTCAATATCAACTTTCTCCGGATGAGAAACTGATAGATTGTGAGCTGCTTGTCCCAAGTGTTATTGAAATACTTATCTGTTAAGAGATAAATGAGTAGCTGGTGGAGTTGTGACAAAAATTGGCTTGGGCTTTGCCTTTTCAATATTAGTCTCGAAAGAATTGAGAACTAATAGATTTCGTGGTATGCCCGGAATTTAAAGGTTTAGAACAAGATTCTTGTAATCTTTTAATCCTGACACAACTATCATCAATTCTTTTGGCTCACAACAACTACCCCTCTCATTTTCATTTTAAGCTATGCACACAAACCCATTTTGAGTTTAAGCTCACTCAGATATGGTTATCCTCATGGGTAGGTATGTCGATTCTGACATTCCATTGAGGTATTTCTGTGAAGCACTAAGTCCCTCCTAAAATTTAATAGTGTATGCTCAAATGATCACAAACATTTAATCAAAACATTATTGCTATGAAGCACAAATGATCAGATAAAAATTGATCAAGATATGTAGCTTTTAAGAACAAACAAAAATCAAGGAGTGATGTTCAATATAGATTATTCAACGAATATGATAGAAATGAATGAAGATCTGTAAATACAAGTTTACAGATTTTGATATTCAAATAATAACGAAATGTGTATCAATCAAAGTAAAAAAATTCAGAAAAACAAGTTTGATTACAAACGAGTGTATTATCACCGAAAATGACTTTCATATAAGAGATGTGATAATAACATTTTCAAGAATAGCTGAAACAGGTATTGGAATTATGTACAATGAGAAATTACGCACGTAAAATCTCAAGAAATACCTGTTCAAAAGATGTACTCGTTTCAGAAATCAATTTCAATTCCTAAAACATTTATTCAAAAAATTTCCAAAGACTCCCCCTAGAAAAAAAATTCAGTAGTATTTAATTTCAGCTCAAAAACCAAAAATTGAAAACATTTTGGCTCGGGTCCTGAACTAAGTTGTTTAGAATATTCATTTCAGCACGGGTCCTGAACTGTTGTATTCAGAAACCATATTGAGACAGATTACAAACTCCCCCTGCATTTGTGTATCATAAGCATGATGTTCTGATCAGTACAGTAATATAACACCTGCCAAAACAAATCAAACAGATTTTGGTACCCAGACGAACTTGGGTCCTTCTTTGTTAGTATCAGGTTAGGGTATGTTGTAATTGCCAAACCATCAATTTCAATTAGATGTTTTCTTTTTAGCACTTTTAACGGGTTGATCAAATATACAATAAGATCCATACTAGTTGTTATCATACCTGTTATAATTATTCCAGCTTTTCTAATAATTGTTGTCTCCATACCACCTATTGTACCTTTTTCTATTGACAAAATCAGTGGTTCTGCATGTTGAGCACATGCTTCTTCTCTTGCTAAGATTGATTAGATCATTAGTGGATCTCACAATACAAGGAAGAATATGGTTAGTAACAATAGAGTTTTGAGACGAAACAAAATCAACTTTATTAACCCAAACATTTTTAACTTTTGAAAAATATTTGGGTGATCCAATGACATACCCTTGATAGTACTGATATGAAGAACGAGAATAGTTCTTAGAAACAATTGATTTAGTGTTGTTTGAATAATTGTTAAATTTAATAATCGAACAGTCATAAAAGATGGTTTTACACTGTTATGGAGAACTAGTTGAGCTTTGAGCACTTGAAAAG